AGAGAGAAAGAGAGAAAAAGAATGAATTAAGACGTATGACAAAAATGGGGCAAGGCCAGACAGGGTAAAAATAAATAAAGAAAACAAAAGAAAACGAAACAAATAAAAATAAAGGAGAAAAATAAAAAAGAATTGTCGAGGTACGACGAGAATTGACGAGAACGAATATTTTAATAATGGCGGACGAATAAGTCTCGAATAAGACGCTGATAATATCGTGAAATTTAAATATGGAAAAAGACGATGAATTACTAATAAAGGGGAAAGAAAATTACAAAGGAAAAATAGACACAAAGAGAGAGAGAGAGAGAAAAAGAGAGTGAAAGAGTATTAGTCGCGAAAGGAGGATATTAATCGTATTAACCCTTTACACTCGACAAATATGGCGTCTATATGAAATAATAAAATGTCTATATAATAACGATGAATCATCTAACATTTACATTTAATTTCAATGTTCATTTTATTTTTATATCGTTTACATATCACTGTCTTATCGTTATCAATTGATGAATTATTCGCGTGACGGTTTAAGTGTAAAGGTTTAATATCGTAACATTTTTAGTACTATTTTTACAATTTTTTCGAATCATGACAAAACGTAAAAAGGCGAGAAAAAAAGAGAAAGGGGGGGAGAGAGAGAGAGAGAGAGAGAGAGAGAAGGTGGAAAATTCAAATCACTTTTTAATCCCTTAACTCGTTCGCAATCATTATCGTTACTCCGTGAAAATCGTGAGAATATCTTTATGAAGATGATAGGACGAGAAAAAGAAAAGGAAGGTGGGAATAGTAGCGAGAGTTCGTGGTGAGGAGAGTTGACTGGGGAAAAAGGACTGAGGGAGAAAAAAGAAGAAGAAGAAGAAGAAGAAGAAAAAGAAGGGCGTATACTTTCTCTCGCGTCGACTTTCAAAATGGTACTAATATATACCCAAAGTGCCTCTGGTAGATTTTTGGGCATAAAGCTTTTGACTAATAAAGACTACATAGCGTTTTATCTTATAAATAAAAGAGGGAACAGGGGAAAATAGATAAAAGAGAATGAAGAGAAGATGAGATTGAGAAGGAGTAGAGAGAGAGAGAGAGAGAGAGAGAGAGAGAGAGAGAGAGAAAGAGAAAGAGAGAGAGAGAAAGAGAGAGATAAAAGATAAAAGATGAAAGAGAATGAACGAATATTAAAGAATTTTATTGGAGGAAGTGTTTAAACGTTTTACGTACATATTACATGCATACATACATACATAAATACATAGATACATACATACATACATACATACATACATACATACATATGTATTGCACATAAGTAATACATACATATTGTACGTAATGTCAGACACTTTTTATATAGACATAAAGTATTATAGTCGGTAGTATAGTTTCTATGTCAGAAAAAAAAAAACAAAAAAAAAAAAAGATGTCTCTGTCTGTTTGCCCTGAAGCGTCTTTCCCAGATGATATTACACGATATATCCAGGATATATGAGTCCTTTTTGAGAGAAAAAGAAAAAGAAAAAAAAGAGAAAAATAAGAAAAACGAGAGAAAAAAAAATGATAAAAAAGAAAAAGGAAAAGAAGAGGAGAGAAAGAAAGGGAACAAGAAAAACGTTCCGTTTGTCTCGACGAATGGAGAACGCACGGCCTCTGACCTCCTCCCCCTCCTCCTCTTCCTCCTCTTCCTCCTCTTCCTCCTCTTCCTCCTCCTCTCTCTTTGACCATCAAACTCTTCGATCTTTCTTGTAATAATTATGTCATCGCTTTCTTTTACCGTACACCCCCGATAACTTCCATTTCGATTCTCTCTCTCTCTCTCCCCCCTCTCTTTCTTTTTATCTCTCTCTCTCTCTCTCTTTCTCTCCCCTCTCTTTCTTTTTATCTCTCTCTCTCTCTCTCTCTCTCTGTTCCCCTTTATTTTACCTCGCATTAAAACATTTTTTATCACGTGACACGTCCTTCCTTTCGTCACATCTTTCAAATCCTTTTTAATCGAGCCTATTCCAACGTTGAATATCTAATTGAAATATCTAATCCCAAATTGGCAACGTTTGCTAAATAAAATATTATCATTGTATCATCGATGGTTCCTCGTTAATTATGAAATGTATGGATCCCAATACTTTGTAAGAGATAAGGAAAATTGTCGGTGTATGTCTGTCTATGACTGTGTGTGTATGTGTGTGTGTATGTACGTGCGACTGTACGTGTGTATGTATGTGTGTATAAATATCATGAGATGTGTTTGTATATGTGTATATGTGAAGAAACTGGTTGCGCATGTCCTCTGCTGTGGGTATATATCGTCGTATCATTCATTACGTGTGGCTTTGCCGTCGACATCCCTCTGGATCTATCCTACCCCCTATCTAAATCTCACCCCCTATCCTCCTATTATCTCCCTATCCTCATCATTCCTCCTACACCAATCACATGATCATTTCCTCCTCAATATTTTAGGATGACGATGATAATTCAATTATCCCACGTGTGTTGATTGTCGTTGCGTGTGACGACAGTTTTTTTCTGCCGTATACGAATGCACGAATTGAATTTACAAATGTGCGATGATACGCCTATCCGAGTGTTTTCGGTGTTTCTTAATGTGTGTACGCCTGTGTTTGTATATCTGTGAAAGTCTATATCCTTTCTTCGCTATCTCTATTTCTCTATTTCTCTCTCTCTCTCTCTCTCTTTTGCTCTCTCTTTTTCTCTCTCTCTCTCTCTCTCTCTGGCGCTGATACTTCTATTTCTTATTTCTCTCTATTTGACTACTACCTTTAATCTTTGTCCTTGAAAAATTTGTTTCTGCAAATGAAAAAATGTTCTGCAAAAAAACAAAAAAAAAAGAGAAGAAAAAAGAAATATAAAAAAAATAAAAAACAAATGGATTACATCGATGATAAAAATAAGAGAGAGAGAGAGAGAGAGAGAGAGAGAGAGAGAGAGAGAGAGAGAAAGAGAGAAAGAAAAAGAAAATGAGAGAAAGAGATAGAGAGATAGTGAATAGGAATAGGATATAGAAAAAAAAAAAATGACGAAAGAGTATCGTACGAATGTTTCTAGACTGTGCAAGACTGAGAGAGACAGCGGAGGGAGGACAATGATCGCGCATCCATGGTCCGCTCCCTCGTCGCTCATTTTTACGTCATAAACATTAATTACGATTATACATATTGAGAAAAGCAAGAATAAAAATAAAAGAAAAAAAAAATGAAAGAGAGAAAGAAGGAAAGAAAAGAAAAGAAAGGAAAGGAATGGAAAGGAAAGAAATAGAATGCATCCAACAAGAAGAGCAACAAGAGATTAACGTTACGTTTATAATAGTCATGTTCCTTTTCCGATCGATAATTATTAAAAATAATAAATCTCTATATCAATACTTGCTACAATATTATTTTGTACTTGGTTTTTTTTCTTTTTTTTTCTTTTTCATTTTATTAATATCTTAATATATTATATATAAATATATTATATAAATAATACCGTTTTTAAGTTATCCGACTTTTATTATTATTATTATTATTATTACTATTATTTTTTATTATTATTATTATTATTACTATTATTATTATTATTATTATTATTATTATTATTATTATTATTATTATTATTATTATTTTTGTATAAATGTGTGATTAATAGTACGAATAGTGTAATAATTTTGTATGTTTATTGAACCAAAAATAAATATTATTGATAAAGAAAAAAAAAAAGGAGAGAGAAAAAAACCCATGGCGCAGAGCAAGAGCTTTCGATGTTTTTATTATTATTATTATTATTATTATTATTATTATTATTATTATTTATTTTTCTTCCCTTCGATCTTTGTATAAAAAAAAAAAAAAAAAAAAAAAAAAAAAAACGCGCGCACGCCCACATTCAAGAAAATCAAACAAATCTCAATGGTCAGAGATCAAAATATCAAAACAATTTCAATTTTCCGTTTCCTTGTTCAACGGTATACTACTATCTACTTCTTCGTCCGTTGCCCTTGTTTTATCGAAATTGTGCAATGGTCGCTCGTTATTGCGTCGTAAACTACGTGGACCAATTGTGCTCAATACAACGGGTAAGAGAAATAAACCGTGCCAAAGACCAAATAATATTACCAAGAGGAATATTTTGAAAAATGCACGGAACACATAGGCGTCCGAAAAAGCTAACATCGAGAGTGCCAATAAAGTTGATCCTGCACCATAGGCCACAGCAGCTCCGATATGTTTAACTGCGATCAATGTCCTTATCTTACGATCCTGATCCTTTTTCTTTTCTAATGAGGATGCATTTAGAAAGGCATGTGCCACGTGTGCGGCATAATCCACGCTCAAACCTACCGCTAACTCGAGACCTGTTTAATTCAAATAAACGAACAGTATAGAAAGATATATATATATATCTATTTAATTTATAAATCGTATTATTAAATGGAACGATATATTAAGGATTAATTAATAGAAACTCTTACCTATGCATGAGACTATGTCGATCGTTAAACCCCAAAAATACATGAATCCGCATACATTAAGTAACGTTAAAAGTACACATAACAATATCCAAAAACATGTTTGAGGTTCTGCTATCAATATCGCGGTAGTACCCATTACGCATATAAGTGCTAATATAAGATTTCGCAGGACTTCCTGTGCGATTAATTTATCGGTCACCCATGTGCTAAACATTTTACTCCAAATCGTAACGAATCCATGAATACCGGATTCTCTTGCAACTTGTTTGGTTAGATCCATAGCCGGTATCCATTGATGAGGACCGGAAAATTTGGTGAAGAAAAATTCTATAGTTGCGATTAAAATTTTTGGCGTGTTCTCGCCACATATGAGTTTTCCATCGAAACGAAAATTCATTTGATACTTTCCACCAGTACGACTGAAGAGAAATTTCGATAGATATCGTTGAAAATCTTCTTTCTTTATATCGTCCTTCGTTAAATCTAACAAAAAAAAAAAATATATATATATATATTTCGTCGTAACTATATCGTGAATATTGTGTTATTAAAAATATTCCATTGAACTTGCCTGTCTGATAAAATTTCTTAACAAAATTTGCAAAATGATCCGGCCAAGATTCAATTTTTTCCACCGATGATAAATTCCTCAAGTTAGATGTTAGAGTCATTATCTTAGAGAATTCTGACGGATAATCAATATTACCGATAAATACGTAAGCACTGTGACCCCTTTGAGAAAAATATTGATTCCTTGCGGCAATATAATTATTCAAATGTGTGCCTTTTGGTAAAAACCATATTGGATCAAACCATTGTTCCAATCTATACGAGCCAACAATACCTATTGATGCTGCTATTATCGTGATCAACAGTATAATAAATTTGCCAGGTAAAGTTAGAACGATCCTCGAATACAAACGATCTATTAATTTCGTAGATAATGCTTTGTTCGGATCGACAATTTTCATAACATGATTTTCATGAACTATACACGGTATTATACCATTCCTTTTTCCTTCGATTCGTTTTGCGTCCAATGTGAAAAAGGCAACGAAAAACGTGATCTGCAATAAAAACGTTACGAGAACTCCGACCGCAGCGTAAATGCAAAATGATTGTAGCGACGGTAATATCTGAAAATTAAATGTTATTTAAATTGTTTTGTATTAATTTATTATCAAAAAAAAAAAGAAAAAAAAAAAGAAAAAAAAAGAAAAAAAAAAGAATAAAAAAAGAAAAGAGAATAATAAATACATACTGTCGACGCGCCGATAATAAATGCTACGACATCGGTAAACGATGTTATGCAAATGGCAGAACCCGCGTGTCCCAACGTGAGACCTATCCTTTCGTGTAATGCTTTTTTCCTATTTTCTTCGAACGAATGTATTTGCTCCCAAGATGCCATCATTACGAACAAATCGTCTACTCCAAGGCCCAATAACATAAATGGTAAAGACGTATGCACTGGACCATAAGGAATTCCAATTACGGAACATATACCTATGGATATTATGAAGGCACCACCAACGCAAAGTAATCCAGTTGCGGTAAGGCAAAACTATTTAAAAATAAAATATAAAAATAGTATATATATATATATATATATATATATATATATATATATATATATATATATATACATATATACACTATTTTTATAAATATTTTTTATAAATACCAATTTATAGAAGCATCATAATTACCCTCCATTCTACCCAGTTGAAATTAGAAAGAATGAATTGAACGTAAAAAAACATCAACAATATTCCTATACCCAATTTGTCTATATCTTGAAACAAGGTCGACGAACTGATGTCTCCAAAACTTCTACCTGCTTCATAAAATAATTCCAATGTTTCATTTTGATAATTATTATTGTTCCAATTATTCAATTCCATCGAGGCTTCTTCTAAAGTACGTAGAAATCCTGATTCCCATTTCAATGCTTCTTCTGTTGCCTGAATACAAATTGTCATTGAAAATAATTATCTCCTTACATATAGTTAATTATTAATTTTTTACTGAACAGTAAAAAAAAAGTAAGGATTAAAGATTACGAAAAAATATGCATATATTATATATAATTTTATGCAATTATGGTTTTTATCTGCAAGATACTAAAAAAATTTGTTTTAATCACCTCTCGACTCATTGTTGATTTGTAGCTTCTCTATTTTACTATTTTCAATTGAATTTACAGTATAATATGGTATTAGATAATTGGACGAATAAATTATTAAAATAATATAGCGTTGTTTAAACGATTAATAATAAGAAAGATAAAGTAACTTTTTCAAACGATCATTGAAATTTCATTGTTAAACTTATCTTCTTGAAATATGATATATGTATATATGTATATAATAAAAATGTTTTATTTATTTATTTTTTCTTTTTTTTGCATTTTATCACATTTAAAAATATTATAATATAATTAAGTGAGCCCCAAAACAAATAATTCCTTTCAAAGAATATTTCCTTTACATTACCATTATTTGTTATTAAAAATATATTGCTGTAAAATAGATATTTCATGTGAAATATTATTTATCTATGAATATTTTGACAAAACATGAAAATATATAATATTTCTCTTTATCGTACAAGGTAAAAGTATGCAACATATGTATGTTAAAAATTTAATAGAGACTTACCTTACCCAATCTGCTGTTCCGGCATCATTTCCAAATGTATCCATGTCTATATTAGAAAAATTCACGCGCACCATAAACTGCGTTTTAATTGCTTTGGCTGATACAATTCTACCACTTTCGTCTCTCGTGATTTCACCTAAGAGATCAGTGAAATTCATAGGATGGCCAAGCGTAGGACTTATATTAATAGTGTTTATCTTTGTAATGATATCTTCTTTCGTTTGTTTCTTGATCTGATCGCTATTATACTCCCAAATATCAAGAATACTAAGTACAAAGCAACTTCTTGGTAAACTATTATATATATTACAATATAATTCAGTATCTGCATGAACTGCCGGCTCAAATTCTGTTACATTTAATTTTCCTGCAGGTTCTTCCTCAAAGAAATCATCTTCCAAAGGATCTGTACTCCTTTTCTTTCGGATATGAGCCTTTATAGAAGGTATCCTATCAACAAGACAATACAATTAATATTGTTCATGGCTTTTTTGATATATCCATATAATTACTTACTTTAAGCAAACATCTGTCCATGAAATAAATGTGCGTTTACCAGGAACTTCGGTCAATATCACTTGTTTTGTAATTTCATTCAACTGAAACAAATCCAAATGTATAAATATTTTTAATAATACAACAAAGTTATTTGTTATTTAAAATTCATAACAAATATATGTATATATATATATATATATACCTTGACGAGTATTTCTGGCTGTAGGACGTCATCTCCTGTCAAAATAATATTCTGTACTCTTTGTCCTTCTCCAAAATTAGATAAAAACCATTCTGTGTCATGTACAAAATCAGAGTTAGGAGGTATCCAAAGTTTTAATGGACTTTTCTCTTGTCGAAACCAATATAATCCACCAAGACAAAATAAAATAATCATAACGCTTCCTATTAACCATCTCTGTGGTTGCAGAGCTATTCTAGATCCTAAACTGAAAGAAATGTAAAAGAAATAATGTCTCAGTTATATACTCATCATTCATTCCAGTCAGTCCTTGTAATACTACATTGTGATATGAATGCTCAATGAGATTTAAACTTACGCATAAAAAAAATGCTCAACTCCTTCTGATATACGTTCTGGTATGCAACGTATTACACTCATCAAAGATCTTCTTTTAACAGTTCTTTTTTGTATCTCCATTTTATTTTTTAAATAGAAGAATTTGAGTTTAAATAATTTATCTTCTCTTATAGATATTATAGCTTGGATTTACATATTAAATTCATAGGAGCATCGATGATCTAATACTAATATATAACAGAATGAATATCACACAATTGTAATGTCAAACACATATATCATATCATATGGACTTTACTCTTATTAATTCACACTATCATAACCTCTACATTTAAACTAACGTAGAAAACAATTTATATCATATGAATAATCAATATAAGACCATTGATTCCAATTACGACATTAAAATCACGATAAGATTTCATTTGAGATATATATTTGCAAAAGTTTTATGTTGAAAATTCATTGTCATAATCGATTTATCCTTAGAAATAAGAATATATCAATTGGAAATGATTATAAACAAATGTTTACGAATGTGTCATTTAAAATGCATTCGATACAGACAATCAATAAATCAAACATTATATATATATATCTTTGTCTTTGTCTATCGAATAATGTTATTCACTTCGTAAAATAAAATTAAAAATTTATAATAATTTACACTTACACTTGATAGGTATTAACACATTTATGTAACCTTCTCTACTGTGATTGGACTTTATTTAAAATTAGAACGAGTAACATTAGCAACGTGATAGAAAACTTTTCTAGTGCATGAAGTAAGTAATAAATGATAGCGTAACGTTTGATGACTTTTAATGAATGCCTTTTCGATGAAACATGACGTTAGACTGCGCTCTTAGCTTTATCTTCAACGATTGTTTTTTCGATGACAGATGTCGATTTATAATCGATTCTTAGTAATCTTTATTCTATTTCTTTCGATTGAATGATCGAGATATAGGGGAAAAAAAGAAAGAAAAAAGAAAAAAAAAAGTACTTCGACCACAAGGATCATGATAATAATCAATAATGTATGCTGTTGTTTTTTTTTATTTTTTTTTTTTCTTTTTTTTTTTTTGTTTCCTTTTTTTCCCTTTCTTTTTTATACTGACCGAAGCATATGAATCTCTTCGAAGTAAAACACTTCATATTCCAGGAAAATATTAAATTTAAACATAAAAATAAATATATTAAAAAAAATATATATATATATATATATACGTGTATATAAATAGAAATAAATTATTTACAAATAATTTTTTCTTGCAAATTCCTTTGTGCTTTTATTTTCGATCTCTCTATCTCTTTTCTTTTTTTTCTTTCTTTTTTTTTGCATTATTTTCTTCTTTTTTTCGAACATGGACGAGGATCGTTCGAGACTCGAAATATTTGTCGTTATGGGAAAATTTAAATTCAAAAATAAATTAAAATTAAAATCAAAGCTATAGGAAAATGTACATTAAAGATGAAAGATCTATATAAAAGGTATATATAAATTATATAGAAAAAAAAGTATATACATTTATATATATATATATATTTTTTTTTACGCGCTTATAAAAAGTAAGAAAAAAGAAATTATAAAAAAAAATACAAAAACTATTGTGTTTCGACTATGATTTTATTGAAAATAAAATAATAAAAAAAAATGAATATATATATATATATATATATATATATATATATATATAAATTATCGCTTTATACGAATACGATGACTCAGATGATTGATATTATTACATTAAATTATCTTATGATTGTTAGTCATCGAATGAAAGAGATAAGAAATAAAGGAGATAGAAATAAAGAGATACAGACATAGCATGCAGACCGCTGAAAATATCTTATATTACTATATGTAAATATAGTACCATACAAGATAGACAAATGTACATTAAAATGGCGGTACAACAGATACGGCATAAGATATGATAAAGATTAGGTGCCTCGATTATTTCCAAATGCATTAAAGTCGATAACATATTACTAATAGCAAATATTAACATAATCGTTCTCGCTGAGAGAAAACATGGAGATGTATTCAACCAAATCGGTACGATCAATAGATAAGGTAAAACAATTGCTAGATCATTATAATGAGCACTCCTGATACGATCCACTGCCGGATGTCCACCACCGTTTGGGCACATTATCACTTGATTTCCTTTCATCCATATTCTATCCTCCTCGCTATGTATCACCTGTCATTAAATCATAATAACATTTCATTTGTGTACAATTTTAAATATATATATATATGTATATACAAAAAGTAAAATCTATAAATAGTAAATCTATAAATATCTATAAATAGTAATCTTATTAACTTAATTAGTATCATATCGAGACGTTAAGGAATATATGCATCCATAAATGGTGGAATGAACTCTCTAGGCAATGGAAATTATGCTAATTAAAACTAAACGTATTGTTAATTGAATTTATACGAATTTGTGAAAATTTCAAAATATATTTATGAATTTTTATTTCTATCGACGAAACGATATTATTACGTTTCAAAACTTATATCATATTAATCGAAATTGTTCTTAATAATTTGTAAATGAACTTGTATATATGTATAAATATATATATATATATATGTATATATATATATATCGTTAAGTATGATAAAATATAAAATTAAAATAAAATAAGAAATAAATAAAAGTGTTTAATATATATTGAAAATATCATATATAATATTATATGTATATATATATATACATATAAAATATAACTTATAACATTTTCAACTAATCAAAATCCATGTTACATATATATATATATGTGTGTGTGTGTATTATATTTTTCATATAAAATATAATATAAAATAAAATATGATAGAAATATTTGTATAATCATATTATATAAAAAAAAAAAATATATATATATATATATTTATAATGCATATAAGAAAAGGATATTGATTAGTAAAAAATTTGATTAAAATTAATTACAAGACTGTTAATAAAAAAAAAAAAGCTTGAAAATAAAATTTATTTATTTGTAAGAAAGGTCTTACCTGTTTGGCAACACGAACTCGTCCTGTGATCCAAGTCAAGGACATCATCTTCAAAATAAGAACACTGGCCCACCATGCGTATATCGTCCATAGTTTTTGTTCTTGTTCCTTTTCAATTGGATTCGTGTTATATAGCATCGTGTTTCATGCACGCAAAAGAAAGACTGAAGAAATAGAAAGGGAGGGAGACAGATAGATAGAATCCTCTTTCTCCTTACGTTTTCACTTCAAGGCGAATGACGACGAACTGTTGAACTCCACGGGAGACGATCTAGCTGCGAGGTGAAATCTCGCTCAGATTCTATTTGAAAGTCAAATGACAACCGATTATCCGACTGGCTAACTCCTAACTTGAAATTGATTTTCAAAGAAACAGGTACACATATTAAAAATTAGAACTATTATATCTATAGATCTATATAGGGTATGTTTAAGATCTATCATATCTTATAACAAATTATTGATACTGGCTGTTGTATGTTCAAAAAAAAAAAAAAAAGAAAAGACCGTCACTGTATATTTATTATTAAATTAAAATATTTATTAAAAATATTAAATATTCTAAAAAAGAATTGTTAATATCAAAATTAAGCTAACAAGGTAGAGATATATTAAAGATGAACATACTTTTGAATAAATCTATAGATCTATAGATATTATTTAAGATCTATCATATCTTATAATAGATTGTCGTAACTGACTATTACATCCACACACATTCACACACACACACACAGACACAAACACAAATACACACACACACACACATATGTTTAAGATTTATAGATATATTTAACGCATTATTGACCATTTATTAATTAATTGCAAAAAGTAGCGTGTATCGTCGATTGTATTCATAATTGAATTAAAAATCATCATAAATGTAATATTAAAAATTAAAAAAAAAATTGCTAATATATCAAAATTAAGGATCATAATAACGATTTACATAATTTTATACTTTAATAATTAGATAAATTGCGTGGATACATTGGAATCTGTCAATAATGCGTTAAGATCAATTTTAATTTTCTCATAAAATTTAAGAAAATTTCTTTAACATGAAAATGTTAAAATGTTAAAATCAAAATAAAATCTTCGACAAACATTACGTTTTTATTCTGACAATTGGGATTGATAAATACAGCTTATATTTTTTTTTCGTTTTCTTTTTTTTCCATAATTTGCATTGTTCAGATATTCGAAAGTAATAACGTGATTTTTTTTTTGTTTTGTTTTTGTTTTCGTTTTCGTCGATATACACAAAATCCGATCGGAACACGATCAGGATTATCACACGATTAAATTTCAACTAAGGATAAATTATTTCACAAAGGTTACGATCAATGATTTAAAACTTATCACTGCACAACGTTATCTCGATATCAGTGATATTATTGCCAACGAAGACACTTTTCCTTTGATAGATGAATATTGTCTTGTGTGAAACTCATAATTATTAATGGACGTTTGAAATTTCTCGTTATGCATTATATTAAAACAAAAAAAAAAAAAAAAAAAAAAAAAAAGAAAAAAAAAAACAAGAAAACATATCTCACGAACGCCACTGTGCGATGTTACTTTTCTTGATGTTCGATTGTATAGAAACATCTATTAGATTATTCCCAAGGAAAAAATCGGTGGCTACGATGTTTGTCTCTTTCCACCATTTCTCTTGAAACCTCACCGTCAGATTTCTATTTACTAAGTCGGCCATTTCGCGTAATCCACCGGCCGGCTCGAAAATGACATCCAATGGGAACGGCGTCAGTTCCGCCATGACAACCCACAATGGATTTGGACTATTCTTAGATATTTTAGGACCCATTATTACATCGTCCAAATATTTAAATAGACCTTTCACTGTTTGCTGATTACCCCAGGCTTGAGATAATGACGGCCAGAGCCACTCGTAATCTGATAATATTCAAGACAATCAAACTCTTTTATTGATTTTCAATTCAAGTTGACATATAAAAAAAGAGAAAGAAAAAAAAAAATCAATTTATCTCTAATTACTAACGGTATTACCATTCACCGTATGTTTGTCACTATAACAAATGATCAATCGTCCACCACCGGTCCAAATATCATTGAGGGTTGGTCCAAGACCAAGGACACCTTTGTCAGGTTTCAAGATCAGATCGCCAAATTCTCGATGTAAAATCGTTGCAAATCCACGATGTATACTTGGGCTATCGACAAAGCCAACAGGAAATCTAAAATATATAAGATACATTTTATCTTTATTATCACATTTATATTCAATTTAGAGATCAAATGATATTTAATCGATATCTTAATTACCTATGAAAATCCATTATGACAACTTCTCCCCTGGCAACGTCTAAAAAATTTCGAACGTCCTTGATGATAGGCGAGAGTGGTGTTATTCTCGACGTATCGTGATTCACCCAAAACCTAGTGATGTTTTTACTTTCCTCATCGTGTTCCGTAGCGTTTGGTTTTGAAGGATAATAACCAACTCTGATATCGAGATAACGTATTCCATGTACCAATTGTGTCCAAACATCGCGATCCTGAGTTAGCAAATAACTTTGGAAAACTCTTCTAGTCAAATCAACGTGTTCGTAACAACCTGAATTGTGTGTCCCGGGTATCATCAGGCTGCCAATTGGTAGTCTCCCAAGTTGTCTTCTTCGTTTTTAATAAAAATGATTAACGCACGTATCAGAATATAAATTGACGATTAATCCGATTAGAGAATATATTTATCTGAATATATATATAAATATACCTCAAGTCGTACATCCAAGTTGGCCAAATTCGTAAACAAGAGCTCATACAAAGATCACCGTCCTTGTAAAGAGCAACATGATGTTTCAAGCAATGTGGACCAGGAAGTGTAGCACCATCTCGAGTATCCCATCCACCTGGTAATGGAGGTCGACCTACCGTAATATTAGTTCGATAATATCCTCTTGGATGTTCCAATGGGGACAAGATTAATTTAGGTCTGATGGTTTTGTCTGGAAAATAATAATGACCGTGATCGCGTCGACCATGATATTATAACGTTTGATTCGTTCATTCGAAATAATAATAATAGTAATAATAATAAGAAGAAGAAGAAAAAAAAAAGAAAGAAAAAAAAAGGAAATAAGCAATGAAAGAAGAAATAATTGATTTCAGAATATCTAATTAATCAGATTAGTTTATGAAAAAAAAATCCATAAATCAATAAATAAATAAATAAATAAATAATTGATTATGTTATGTCGTACAATGTGCAAAAGAAGCAAACAAAACTTATTACTATGCACTGGGTCAGCAGTGAACACCTTGATGGTATCTGGGTATTCTTTACTTGTAGGACAGTCCAATTCCCAATTAACTTCTAATACAGCATCGACGACATTATCACTAGCAGCGATCGGTTTGCATAAGGAAGAGACCGTCAACCATACTTTCCCACATTGTGCTGCCGAAGCTACAAAAAGAACTATCATTTCAAAGTATACTTAAACACGTTGATAATGAAAATGACGAGATAGATATCTCGTTCGAATTAATTCTATCCTTTAAAATCAATTTTAACAGGCTACATCTAGGACACATTTAAATTGTTTAAAAGTCAACACATTTGATAAATAATTTCTATCGATTTTTATAAACAAAATATTTAAATGATATCATCCGAAGAAACTTAACGATTCATTAAAAATGACATTAAATAATCGAAAGGGGCGCATTTGCTTTGAAATGAAATGAAAAAGTAAAAATAAAATATTTCGATAGATAATATCCGACGGACTTTTCGGCCAAATAAAATCAAAATATATATACAACTGCAAATGATTTAACTTACCTATGTCATAAGATGCGTAAAGAAGCAAGAGAAATGTTTCTTTAATCATGATCAATATTAATGGAATCCTTCTATTGATCGGTCCAAGTATCTATGTTAAAATCTCTTGGAAATTTTGTCCTCCCAGTTTGATGTTTACAAGTTCAAAACGAAGGTTCAACGACGATTACATATGATAATATAATTCCGACGTTTTTCTCTCTCTCTCTTTTCGTTCAAACTTTTTCGTCCCTCGAATTGAAAGATTCTCGAAAGATCGTATCGAAATCTTTAGGATATGTATCTTGAAGTATAACTTTTTATTTATTTTTTCTTCTTTTTTTTTTTTTTTATTTTTCTTTTTTATTTTTAAACGAGTCTCCGTTTAAAAGTCTAAGCTTTAATCAATTCGTTCTAATGACATCGAGATCATCGAAAAACTAAGAAGGACGTTCGTTGTTGACGTTACTCTAGAGGTGTACCGATTAAAAAAGATTCAGAGAAATAACTGATCGAGGGACAACCCCAGACGACTGAACGAACACACCAACGTTGGCTTCGGTCAAGCTCGGACGTGCTCAGCTTTTAGTTTAATATAGAACCCATTGGTTCGCTTGTAAAACGTTCGAGCACATTGTACCATCCTTCCATCACTTCCTCGGACACGTCAATTTGTTCGAAAAGAGGGGAACCGTGTTTTACCTACGTCTCTCTCTTTGTCTCTCTCTCTCTCTCTATCTCTCTCTCTGTCTCCCTTATTCTCTTGAACCATTTTGTCGTTCCTCTTGGACTCTCTATCGACAACGTGTAGAACCAAGGGGTCAGACTCGACCACCTAACATTAAATACCCCATTTCCTGCGTATCTTCAGAAGATAGATATATAGATAGACAGAAAGAGAGAAAAAAAAAGAGAGACAGAGAGAGAGAGAGAGAGAGAGAGAGAGAGAGAGAGAGAGAGAGAGAGATTCATACTGAACGACGATGGAAGGGTGATGATAAGGTTCCTGAACATGCTGAGGGTGTTGGGGGGAATGATTTTAATTTTACATTGAATTAAACACCCTCGCGTGTAGTCCGCGTGTCAGAAATATATCATGAGAGCGTTGTAGATTATCAGATCATATTTCCAGCAAGTAGAGATATATGTATGTATATATATATATATGTATATATATATATATAGAGAGAGAAATATGTGTGTGTATAGATTATATACGATATACATACATATATATAACATACATCCCTATTATGTGTCATGTATGTTATAATCGAGGACATCTTATATAATAGATCTTCTAACTCTTCTTCTCGAAGTTAAAATGATAATCTTAACTTGATGACGTTTCTTCTTCCTCTTCTTTTATTTCTTTCACTTCTTCCTATTTTCTTTTAATATTTTCTTCGAGTTCGATCATTCTTCTCTTTCTTTTTTTCTTCTCTCTCTCTCTCTCTCCCTCTCTCTCTCACTCTCTCTCTCTCTCTCTCTCTTTGTCTAATTGCATAAATTTTAAATGAATTAATCTAAAGTAAACGAACGTTTTAAAGAAGACACATAGAGTTAGTTAGAAATTTATTTGGATAAAATTTGTATGCAGAAGACAAATATATCATATCTTTCTATATATAAATACATTATTGTAAGATCTGCGTTAGAAATTCCAAAAATCTATGTCACTTTTTATCTTCCGACTTGTTCTTTTTTTCTGTTTTTTTTCTTCTTTTTTTTTTTTTTTCTTTTTTTTTTTTTGTATCGTTACGATAAAAATTATATTCGCTAAGCGATCTTTGTAACAAATTGATATTGATTATTATTAATTTTTCTATTAATTTTATCCGCAGAAAGTTATGGGGGATTGTAAAAAGTGACAAACATTTTTCGAAATACATTGAAATTCTTACAAATATGTGTGCATATATATATATATACACACATATATTCATATATATATATATATATATATATAATACCACCAAGTAATTAATGTTATTTGTTTATTCTAACTTTTGGTTATTGTGCTCGAAGTACGTGAAAAATTAAACAATTAAAAATAATTGTACTTATAGTAAAGAAAGTAGACTATAATCGAGTTATTTAATACAAAATATTTTGGAAGATTAAAGGTAACAAAAAAATTATGGTTAATATAAAAAAAAAAAAAAAAAAAAAAAAAAAAAAAACAAGAGAAAGAAAGGAAGAAAAGACCAGATTATCCAACCCGCAATTGAATTGGTGACTTTAATGAGTCAACAATAATCAAAATAATATATAGACTAGTATCGGATCAAGACAAATGTTAATTTTTTGATATTTAGAAAAAATTGAAAGTTCCAAATTGACATTAATAAGAATCTACGATTATAATAGCATTCTAAATTATATATCTTTCGTAACGAGATACATATGTATGTGTTTATTTTTTTTTTCTTTTTTAATGTATTTAAGTTTGAATTATTTAAAAATTATTTTTCTATAATAACAATAAACATGGGAAAAGTAAGTATATTTATTCTTGAGAAAAATGATTTTTTTTTCTTTTTTTTTTTTCTTTTTTTTTTTAATGTAAATGAAATTATTCAAAAATAGAGTCTGTGTTTAACAAAATATGTCTTTTAATATCTCAAACGATTTTTGTTCACTTTCGTTAATTATCAGCTGATATCGGAAAAATTTTATGAAAATTATTATTCGTCGAATTCAATTCATTATAGAAATGACGATAATCGAGAATATATAATACAATATTAATAATCGTAAACGTTTGAATAAAAAAGGAAAAAAAAGAAAAAAAAAAAAAAAGAAAAAAAAATAAATTACGAATACGTATAGGTACGGTTAATATTTTTGTTTTTTTTTCGTTTTTTTTTTGTTTTTTTTTTTGTTTTTTTTTTTGTTTTTTTTTTTTTATTATTATTATTAACATAAATGATATTATATATATATATATGTATAAATTTGTTTACAATTACATGAAATTAATATTCGAATTTACAAGTGAAAAAACCGTCTCAATGGAATCATTATAAATACGTTTCTTGTTATTAACACAGTTGACTCTTTTTATTATTGTACGATAATTGTAATTTTCACGAACAGTGTACAATTCCATTTTCATTCTGAAAATATATTGAACGATAATGCGTGGAAATGTGTATGTATGTATGTATGTATGTATATATGTATATATGTATGTATGTATGTATGTATGTATGTATGTGCGTATTGTTGTTATTATTATTTGCGAACATTTTTATACACTGTAATTAAAGATAAATAGCAAAATCTAATTTTTTTTTTTTTCATTATTAAATGATAGAAAATAGATATAAAAGGACAAAACATCAAGGTGTAACATCATTTCATAAGACTAGCTTCAATAAACATAGAAGAAACAATAATAATTCCATTACGAGTTAGGATTTATAAAAAAAAGAATGAAAAAAAGAAAAAAAAAAAGAAAAGAAAAAAAAATAAAAGAATATACATATAAAAAGAATTGTGATATGATAACAGTGACCAAAGAGAGTTATGGAAAAAGATATATAATATATGTGTATGAATAGAGAGTAAATAATAATAATAATAATAATAATAATAATAATAATAATAATTATAATAATAATAATAATAATAATAATAATAATAATAATAATAATAATAATAATAATAATAATAATATTAATAATAATTATAAACTTTGATTTGTTGAACATTATATTATACAATGTCCCTCATTTTAATCTGATGGACACATACATTTTTGTATTGTATTATATTATTATCCTGTTTATTTGAAACTATTATAATCATCAGCATATAAATTTATCGAGCCCTGTGATATATTATTTATGACGTAGTCTTACTTCCTTTTTCATTATTTATTTTTGTCTGTATGTGTCTGTGTCTATGTGTTAATAATATAATTGTTGATAATTAGATTAATGCTTGCTGCATAAAATATCGTTATTTTATATAAGCATTTGAAGAAAATCATTTGTCATAAGAGAGATGCTTATTTTAATAAATGTTATTCATTACGTTCACATAAGGCGACATCTTTCTTGACTTGGTGGATCATCCTGAAACACAAAATAGATTACTTCAATGTTAAAATATATTTTAAAATACGTTAACGATTTTTCTTTGCCATCAGCCCAACATACTTAATGACCTAACGGAACTGTTTGTTTTTTCCTAGGTTTTTCATTAGTCACAAAAAAAGAAAAGACAAGCATACATTAATCTCTTTTATTTAAATATGTATATCTTTTTTTTCACGATTAAATTATAGTAAAAGTAGAAGTGGAAGAGAAAAAAAAAAAAGAAAAAAATAAAAAGAAAAGAAAAGAAATAGAAAAGAAAAAAAAAAAAAAAGAAATAAAAAAAAACAAAAAGAAAAGAAAACACTTATTTCATACAATTAAATTAATAATCGAGAATATAAACACATATATGTATATATATATATATAAATATCGAATATATTATTATTATTATTATTATTATTATTATTAAGTTGAGAAAGCTTTCCATATAAATAGTCTATAACTATATAACTATAAGTATTTCTAAAGACAATGTGGTTAACTATGAAAATGTGAATGTTTCCGCTCGTCAAACAATATTATTTTTATAAACGCATATGATTGTTTTAGTTATAAAAGCGTGAGTATAAAGGCATAATATAGGTGTGCTGCATGAAGACCAACAAAGTAATAAGCCAAATAATCGTAGTATGATGAGAGTGCAGAAGATATTAATATCGTTGTTGACAAGTAGCTGAACGATCGTACATCCGATTGGTTGAAATCAACTTACATAAGATGCCCATCAGAGTTCATGTGCCCAGGCACTTAATATGGGTAGAGATATCTTCTCTATGAAAACAAGAAGCGAGTGTCGGTAAAATGCGCAACACCCTCGTAAACAAATTCGATAATAATATAATTATATGCAATTACATGATATATTCTACGATTATATACTTAAATGTATGATATAAATATATTTGGAACACTTTTACTATAATAAAATGTTATATATATATATATATATATGTGTGTGTATATATATATATATATATATATAGTATTATAGGGTGGGCCAAAAATTCATATACTGATCGAAAGTTCTTAAGTAATATTAAAAATCGATTACTTCTTTTCGCAAAACTTTTTGGGGCGTATATATATATATATATATATATTTTTTTTTTCGAATTGGAAAACCAATCTGAAAGAAAAAAATTAGCCTGAAAAGTGTCGAGAAAAAAAGAAAGAGTAATCGATTTTTAAGATCACGTAAAAATTGATCTATCATCTATAAATATAATCTTTAATCTCTCGACAGTTTAAAAATAGAACAAATAATTGGAATTTCTTCGTTCTTATCCATAAGAATTTTTAACAAGCTACTGTCAATATAGCCACATTGTCTTCTTCTCTTTTTTTGTTTTTTCTTTTTTTTCTTTTTTTTATTTTGGACGTCATTCTACTTCGTGTACAAACAAAAAATGATCTATAACAAATTTTTCAAGACTGTTTTCTTTTTTCTTGTCGACTGTTTTGTTCTTTTTTCTTTTTTTTTTTTTATTTTTTTTTATTTTTTTATTTTCATGTCGTATTAAAAGTTATAAAAATATTGATTCTTGACATCACACACTCGTTCCAATAAAAATATACGAAAGTGATAAAAGCTACTTGATTGTGCATGAATAATTTTTGTCTCAATGAATAGGTTAATGTTGACTAGCTTAGTTTAAAAAAAAGAAAAAAAAAAAAAAAAAAGAAATGAAAAAAAAAAAAATACAAACAAACCAGATGGATGTATGTAGTATATATATATATATGAACTTATCTGATATCACATATTCACGAGATATTAATTCATACCTGCTGGTGATAAAGATCTTCCGCAGGTCGGAATCCTAAACTTTCTCTATGTCGCGATACAGATGTGGACAATTGTTGTCTTTTTCTTTCAGACGTTGCCATTTCCTATTTAAGAAATCAGAAATATATATATATATTTGTTTTTTTTTTTTTTTTTAATAATCATATATGCATGCGCAAACTGGATCTGAAGAAAATGTTAGAAGAAAAAATAAACAAGAAAAAAAATGAAAAACGTAAAAGAAAAGAATCATACTTCTGATTCATTATTTAACAAAACTGTAGTCATATTTTCGGCAATGAACCATTTTTGACCCTTCATAACGATATTGGACGGTGGCTCGTGCGTTGCACCGATATCGGCCGACCATACAGTTACACTTCCACCAGCATCTAATTTTGCAGTTCGATGGAATTTAAAAAGTGTTTCTAATGTTCCAGCTTTGCGAAGAATTTGCCAACCACTAAGTCCGATCTCCTAATGACACAAAAGGGAAGAGAAAGAGGGAAGGGGGGGGGGAAGAGAGAGAGAATGGAAGGGGACAAAAAAAAAAAGAATTGAATTATTATTGCAAACCTTCGTACAATTTTATGATCATATTCATATTGGTATAAAGTTTTATAAATTTTGGAAAATACAATTTTTATTATAATATATTCATATATTAATTAAAACTTACTTTGTTACCCTTGTTAGTAAGTTTTACGTATCGGCCTTGAGGATCAGCTTCTGTTATCTCAATATCACCCCTAGCTGTACCACTGATACTATAGTCACTACTACTACGTTCTTCACTTTCCTCCAATAACGTTCGCTTCCTCTTTCCACCTCTAAGAGGCGTTTGTCTCGCTGGAGTACTTCTACTGCTACTCTGTACCACGCAACTGATACCACTTTGTGATGGCGTTATATTTAATCTGCAAAGAAATAGAGAAATAATTTAATTTAATTTAATCGGTACTCCATGACGCGCACATCACTCAGGCAAAATCTTTCTATTTATTTTTTCTATAATAATAATAATAATGATTATTATTATTATTATTATTATTAAGAACTATTCTAAAAGTATATTTACCTAGCTTCCTCGGATTCTAACAATTTACGATATGCAGCAATCTCCAAGTCAAGAGCAACCTTTATATCCATTAAATCTTGATATTCTTGTAATTGTTGAGCCATTTCATCTCTCATTCGAGCTAATTCCGCCTCATATGCGGCTATATTTTCTGTATATCGAATACGTTCGTTCTCTCGCAGACTTTCCAAATCCCTATAAGAGAAATATTTATTTATTTTTTATTTTTTTATTTTTTTTTTTTTTTTCTAATTAATATTTAATATAAAATATAAATCTAGAAAGATCTATATTATCGAGAATAAATACCGGATTCTTGAATTCAAAGCATTGGTAGAAGCCTCAAGTTCGTTGATCCTTTGCTTAAGAGTATCAATTCCAGATCGAGTCTGTCTCAATTCCTCGATGGCTGAGCTAGCTGCATCACTATTACGTTGAGCATGAGAAGTCAAGTTTTTGATCTTGTTCTCATATAATAATTCAATCTCCTCACGATTGGCACGCATCTGTGCCTCATATTGATCACGTAATTCTTGCAATGACTGTTGTAATTTTGCTTCATATTGTTCGGCCAATCTTCCATCAATTTCAGAGATTTCAACCTAATAACAATAAAATATAAACACGTTAGATATATGTATATATATGTATATTTTTTTTTCTTTTAATAAATAAAGAATAAATATTTAAACCTATATATATATATATACCTGTCGCCTCGTACGCGTTTCAGTAAGCTCCTGCTGATAAACCTGATCTTTAAAGCTAATATCCTCTTTAAGACTTTGAATATGATTTTCAAGATCGATACGTTGTAATGTTTCTTCCTCGAGATGATGGCGAGTATCGTTCAATGCCGCGTTCAAACGTTCGTTTTCCTTTTCCAATTCTCTATCCTTATCCGTAATTTTCTTACGTTCGGTTTGACTTTGAGTTAATTGAGATGTCAAATCGCTGATTCTAGCCTCGCATAAACTCAAATTCCTTTCGGCTATTTGCAAATCCTTTGTCTTCTTTTCCAATCTGTAATAATAAAAAAAAAAAAAGTAAGAATAAGAAAAAAAAAATATATATATATATACATATAAATATTTATCATTATTTTAAAAATCTCATGATCATTCTCATGATTTTCTTCAACCTATACTATAATAATAAAAAATAAAAAAAATATATATATATGTATATATTTAATAAATATTAAAAGAGACATATCGTGTCGTATACGCACAACTATTATTAAAATAGTAAAATTGCATAAAAAAATGATTTTTTTTTTCTTTTTTTTTTTTTTTTTTTTTTTTTTTTTTTTCAAAAATAAATATATTTACTTTTTTCGTCCCTTAATTTTTCCATTATTACATATCGACAATAATTTTTATATCGTTCAAAGCAAAAATCCCTGAAAATATTTCAAAATGAAAAAAGATATATTAAGAGTTAAATTTTATAATCATTATTATATTATTCATGGTACATACTTATGTTTATTTAAAAATATTTTGTAAGATTGATAATCGATGATATTTAACGTATCATTTTCAAAGAAAATTCTAAAAGACACGTTTCTAATACTCCCCTAATTTCCAGTTAGATACCGGGAAGCTGATTCTTAAAATAAAAGCGCTTCGTAGAGGGAGAAAACTCGAAATATCGTGTTTCTCCATTCTTCTCGACTTAGATATCTCCTATCTCTCTCTCCCTCTCTTTTTTTCTTTCTTCCATCGTTTTAGATTAGATCTAATTATTAAGATATATCATTGATATATTTCTTGCTTTCTTTCTTTCTTTTTCTTTTTTTGTCTATTCTAAACTTTAACCATTTGATTCAGAAATCATTTAATATTTAAACGAACAATATTATTTTTTTTAATTTTATTCATATTTTCAAACTCATTCCTTTCTTGACTTAGTCACAACAGTACAAACGGGAAATTACAAACCACAATTAAAGAATTTCCTTTAGATTAAATTTAATTATTGATAAAATCATTGACATAATTTTTTCTTTCCTTCTTTCTTTCTTCTTTCTTCCTATTCTAAACATTTACCATTCAGTTTCTAAAAAATTTTGACTTTTGAATATTAGTTTCTTTTCTTTTCTTTTTTTTTTTTCCTTCTTATTTTCAAATTCATTTTTTTCTTGACCTTATTAGTTATAGAAGTACAGAAAATTACAAATCACAATGAGATATCTCGCAGAATTAATTATTGGATTACCTCCTTTCTGTTCTGAAGTTTATGATTATATAAATAATTCTCAATAATTCTATGAATTGATAAGTGAAATATTAAAAAAAAAAAAATAATAAGAAAAAATTTTTTTTAAATACAAATAAAAAGTAGTAATAAACATAAGATTTAATTAAATAAAATAAGATTAAATAAAACAAGAATCATTGATAGCATATTATAACTTTGATTACTCAACAATATTGACCCGACGTTATATCAAAAATAAAAAATAAAAAAGAAATACATATATATATATATATATATATATTTCAATGAGAATTTTCTAATTCTTGCATTGTACGAAGGCCACTCTTTTTTGCCGATCGTATCTTGAAATCCTTGGACTACTACTCGAAGCAACAATTAATAATATATATATATATATATATTGCGTGACTATACAGGACAAGGTCGAAATCTTTTTATTCTTACGAATGAATTGAGCGACTACGTCATCCCCAGAAATCGTCCATTTTTATTTCATGCATATCTTCAAAAAAGAAGAAAAAGATGGGAAGAAAAGTAAAAACAGAGAGAGAGAGAGAGAGAGAGAGAGAGAGAGAGAGAGAGAGAGAGAGAGAGAGAGAGAGAGAAATTAGAAAAAAAGAAATTGTGAAACTAAAAACAAAATGCTTTTTATCTTTTCTTATCTTTAGAATATTCGAAATGAATACGGCTAACAAACCAGTTTGATTGCTTAAAATCATTTACATACATATACAGCTCTATTCCATCACGTCTGTCGCTATCAAATGTCAAGAAAAAAGTTGTTAAGATAGTAATGGTGAGAATATGATGATGGTAGTAGTGGTTTAATGGTAGAGTAGTGGGGGACGAATAAACTTGCCCAGGGGACAAAGAGAGAAACTCGCGTAGGAGGCTCTCAACGTCTGGGTCGCTTTCATTTATTTAAGTATTTCGAGTTTGGAGTCTTGAGAAGAATGTCAAAAGAAAAAAAAAGAGAGAGAGAGAGAGAGAGAGTGAAAAATAGAAAAATAAAACGACACATTTCAACAAAAAAAAAAAAAAAAAAAAAATTCATCGCACGATACCGTTTGTTAACAAATAATTAATAAATTAATAAATTAATAAAGCTTAATATACATCATAAAAAAAAACAAAAGAAAAAAGAATAGAAAATACGAAAAAAAAAAAAAAGAGAATTAATTTCTACAAACTTTTTATCGAATACTACAAAATAGCCCTTGTAATCGCACGTAATTTATAAATTAATAAATTAATACAAACAAAAAGAGAAAAAAAGAAAACAAGAATTATTTTTCTTATTTTCTTTTTCTTCTTTCTTTTTTTTTTTTTGCGAAATTTGCTAAATTGTGATAAGTTGAAAAAAAAAAAGAAAAAGAAAAAGAGAAAGAAATATTATTCACAGTCAGAGAAACTCCAGAATCATATCGGTCAAAAGACATTTCACGAAGCCGACGAGAACCCAAAGAGCGAGTACTATACTCGGTTCGGCGCTATTTCAGACACGGAACACGACCCACATTGAGAATTTTATTTTCTACCATGGCGAACCAAGCAGTCTAATATTCGGTTTAACTCTTAACGGCCCGTAACCAAGGGTTACCACAAACCTCCTACAATACGAATTCTAATCAATCGAATTCGATCGAATTTTATTTTCATTTCTAATCGATTTTTCATTCATTATAAATTAATAAAACAAAAAATAAAAAACATCTGATTGTTCGAAGAAAAAAAAAATAATAATAATAATAAATCAACGACCTAACCTCAAATTAAAATTGAAAAAAAAAAAAAAAGAAAAAAAAAACCTTTTAGAAAAATTGTTCTTAATATATCATTTTTTTGTCCTCCAATTTTATAATTAGACATTATTTATTATGAATTTGATTTTTGTAAATACAATAATGGCGAATTTCATAGTAATCTGTATGCATGCTCGGTGCATACGTATATATATGCATACATACGTATAATGTTCTCTCTCAGTATGGGGTAAAAAGACCAACCGTTTTCATCCTAACATCTTGCTTTTCTAACAAACGATTGAAGTAACACACACGATGTTTATGCATGTATATATACCCACGCATATGTACACAAGAATTAATTTGCAAGTTCACAATTTTATTGTAATGTCACAAACAAGATTAAAACTAAGCACGTATATATCAATGACTCATATTTTATTCTTAGGTGGGAAAATAAAAAATTATCTTCGTAATAGAAAGAAAAAAAAAAGAAAAAAGAAAAAATATCAATTTATTTTTTTATATTAACCATTTTAGTAAAAATTAAATGGTTTTTTCTTTTTTTTTCTTTTTTTGATAATTTTGTTTCATAATTTTTGTTCAAATTTATCTCTTAATAAATAATAATTATACATACATCATTCATACATTCATTCATAGAGGGCGCCGTAATTACTAGCATGAAACGTTTTTTTGTATTACTATGTCAGTCATAATAAAAAGAAAAATTAGATAATAACATTTTATAATGTTAGATTGTGGAATTAATTTTCATAGTAAAAAAAAAAGTGTGTCAAATTTAAATTACGATAATTTGTCCTTTCCAACGACCGTTAAAAATCTTTGCCTTCGACATTCTTGTCGATGAAGAAACCGGCCTGTTAGTAGCTTTCCCGTTGCCGCGATCAATGGCCTAAAGGCCAACGGAAACCTCCTTCTCTTTGACCGTCTCTTGCAATGGCCGGAATCGACCTATGATGTCAGCAACAATTCTGTAAAATTTTTCGATTCCAACAAAACATAATACTCGCATTTTTATTTTCCATGTCACGTTTTGTAGTCCTAAAGACGTACATATGTATTTGAACCCTAAGAATAAAATTCATATGAATTTGGCATATTATCATCGCCCAAAATAGTTTTCATCGATAATAAAAGATGTCCAAATTTATTTATTTATTTATTGAATTTTTCTTCTTTTGTTTTAATTTATAAAAATATATTTATATTACACACATATAAATATTATTCTCGATAACATATCATTAAAAATAATCAAAATATCTCATTAAAAATAATGAAGGTTAACATTAACATCAACATACTATTATTCATTTCATTGGTTTACTCAGTCGCGTGACAAAAGGGAATAATAAACGCAATGTAATTGGTCAAACATATATATTGTAAAGCATTAACGAACATCATAATTTTAAAAAAGAAAAAAAAAAAAAAAAAAAAAAAGAAAGAAAGAAAAGAAAAACGAAAACAAAACGAAAACAAAACAAAACCAAAAAATCACGTTATTTCCATTTCATATTTATTCTTCATTTTAACAGGTTCTGACTTTAGAACTTCGCTCATTCGTTTTAGAATGCAAAAATAAAAAAAAGAAAAGCAACGAAAAAAAAAGAAAAATAGCGCTTCGAATGCTCGGTTGAATGTATAGTATCGAAACGCCATCTATAAAAAAAAAAAATATACATTAAATGATAACGAATGAAACGAGGCTCTCAAACGACATTTAATAGAGAGCGAACTAAAATTGTTTAGATGATTTTACGAATTAATCTAATCTTTGTCGACAGTTTTTAGGTTACTTTTTTTTCCCCCTTCGAATTGATTCATTCTGTATATACACTTAAATTACTTTCAAATATGACATCTATATTTCAATTGCATTATTTTGTTTATTAATCGATCTTTATAGTATCTGATATCGAATTCGTTATAGATAGTCTGCATAATAAAGAAAATGGCGGAGAGGCACGAAGAATTTCTTAATAAAACCTGTTCACATTCAATCGAGGACACCATCATCGTCATCGTCACGATTTATTCTATCGAACGAAGAAATGACGTCATGCTTCGTGCCTCGAGAAGCGTTCTTTACGTTCTTTAAAAACTCGTATTCATTTAAATCGAACGTTCCCTTTAAGGTGTAGTAGCTCTTTAGCACAGGAAAAAAAGGAAACAAAACAAAATAAAAAAAAACAAAAACAAAAACAAAAACAAAAATCACGAAACACAATCGATCGATAGTTGTTACCTCCTGTAACATTTTACTGCAATAATCATCATTTCTTGTAAATTTGTTATTTCGAGAGATACACGAGGTTAAAGATGAAAATAAAGATGGCGTAAACGTTGCATATTTGCAATTGAACAGTTTCTCGTTGATATCATTTAATCTGGCTACGGAGCTACGACGAAATTCCGTGATCCAAATTCGACGAATTAAAATCTAAATGAAAAATTGACCTTCGTGGTTTCATCGCCAAAAATATCGTTTCTCGATGAATAACAAAGATAGCTAATCGAAAAAATAAAAAAAATAAAAAAGAAAGGGGAGAGGGGAGAGAGAGAGAGAGAGAGAGAGAGAGAGAGAGAAGAAAAAAGAAACAAAGCAAAAATCGTCTTAGCGATGGATCTTGTAAAAATGTACATTTAGAAATTCTTATACGCGTTCAACTTAGCAATTGAAAAACTATAAGTTATAACTTTTAATAGGACAACAATGTAAATAATTAATAATGTTTTCATTTAATAATGCAATTGATCCGAGATATGTTTGAAATAGATATCAATTAGATTTATTGGAATGTCAAATCTGACGCCATGTTAATATCAGTCTATTCATTTTTAATCTTCAAAAATAAACGATTTAATCGGGCAAAAAATATGTATAAACTACATATCTCGGAATATGAGTGTTTATCTTTTATATTATATATATATATATATTATATATATATATATATATATATATATATATATATATATATACAAGTATCATATAGTTTGCTTCGGCCGTCGTGTAAAAGAGTCAATGTTTTTAGGTCAGGGAATACAGGAATGAGTGAGTGCGCTGACATCATCGTATAGTAGTAAGAGTGACGCAATCGTTCGTAGTAACGTCACGTTCTCGCTTGAACGAGACCTCGAAATATCGATTCTACCTCGAGTTGTAATCGATTCTCTCGATATATAGTCGATTGTGTTTGGACGCTTACTCACAATATTTCAACATCCATTATTATCACGGAACTACTACGGAGAAGATCATTTTACCCTTTCGGGTATATTGATTTTCCATAAAAAAAACCTTGAAGCATCCTGCTGAAATATATTTTTCTCTTCGAGCAAATTCTCTCCCTGTTACGTATTAAAAAATATACCATTAATATATATATTTTTATCATTATTTATTCTAACAAATTTATATAAAATTATCATGGATAACAATGATCGAAGTAATTAAGCTAAAGAAAATTATTGATCCACGTGAAGTAATGTGCTTTTAGCATGATATCGTAACATAAACAAGATAAACAATCTCTCCTCTGACCTTTTTTAACCGCTTTACTAATTTCTTACATATAGAAATGTTAGACATGAGGATTAATATTGATTTATAATAGACGAATATTTTTCAATAGCATAAAACGTGTCATTTCATTCTCTCTCTCTCTTTCTCTCTCTCAAAAAAAAAAAAAAAAAAGAAAAGAGAAAAAGAACTCTCCATATTGTCTACGATAGTTTCAAAGTAAACAAAGTAAGTTTGCATCTAAGTGTTAAATTCATTAAAACTGAAAAAATATATATATATATATATAAAACATCTTTCTAAAAAAAGTAACTATAGCCTATGGGGAAAAAAAAAAAGAAAAAAAAAAAAAAGATGCTTACGAATGCCATCCTTTATGTTTCCAATCTACGTAGAATGATTTTTATAACCGATCCAAAAAAAAAAAAAAGAAAGAACTAGTTGATACATGTATTATTATTCACAAAACATTCTTATACGCGGGTACATTAATAGACGGACACGTCGATGACCTAAACGATATTATTATAATGATACAAATAATCATAAACTATAGAATATCACGTAAGAGATCTAAAATGCTGATAAATCCATAGTTTTATCATGTCCATCTGTTTTATGATAAATAAGAACTTTTATTAAAAAAAAAAAAAAAAAAAAAAAAAAATATTCTGTTTTATGGGACATAAAAGACAAAATAAAGAAAATAGAAATAAATTAAAAAAAAAAAGAAAAAAGAGAAAGAAAAAAAGGAAAAAGAAAAAAGAATTAAAAAAAAAAAAAAAGAGAGAAAAAAGAAAAAGGAGAAAAAATGGTAAAAAAGTATGCACGAAAGTAAACATAGACACACACACACACACACATACACATACACATAATATATATATTAACATAGATACATACATATATATATATATATAGGAAAAAATGTACTTACTTATTTTTAAATTCCTCGCTAGTATCCCACAATCGTTTGGTATCTATCTCGAGTTTGGCGCGTTCCTTTGCGGTATCGTCCAATAACTTTCTAGTATCGGACAATTCTTGCTCGTACATAGACTTTATATTGGAAACTTCCCGTGTACTTGTTTCCTGCGTAGTATGCACTTCCCGCGTGAGTCTTGAATTTTCGGCTTCGAGATGCCGCACCTTGTCAATATAACACGCGAGACGATTGTTCAGATTTTGTAAATCCTGTTTCTCTTGTAAACGAGAATAACGCGTTGGACTTAATGGACTACCAGGCCTTTGTCCACCGCCGATAGGCGTGGACGTTTGAGGTGGCGGTGGTGTTTGTACGCCACTCGTATTAGTTGCCGACGCCGTTCCAGACGTTTTCTTACTCGTTTTCGTAGACATATTTGTTTCTTCTTCTACTTCTACCTCTTCTACTTCTATTACTTTTTCTTCTACTTCTTACTTTCTCCGTCCTTAACTGAAGGACTTCTTTACGAATTAGAAACTTAACTTCTTTTATCCTTCGTTATCTGTCCTTCGTAAAAAAAACCTCGGTCGAAGCATTAACTTACTTTACTCGATAGCACGCGTCCGTGAAAGTTACCTTTTATATGGGGGACTTTTACCACGGCAAAGTCGATTTTCTACCACCACCACCACCACTACCACCATCAAAAGCCGCTACAACAAGAACGCCGACGACGACGACGACGACGACGACGACAAACGTGTCCGTTAACGCACAGATATTAAACCGTTTGCTGCGTGCTGACGCCAACACCGAGGCGACTCTCTTTCTCTCTCTCTCTCTCTCTCTCTCACGCGAATATCCCCTTCCATACCAACAACGCGTATCTCTCTTCCGACCAATCGCGTAACACCATTTTCTCCATCTCTCTCTCTCTCTCTCTCTCTTTCTCTTTCGTTTTCTCCCTCTCTCTTTTTGAAGCTTCATTTAACGAACGCCATACCTATGGGGATTTTTCTTTCTTTAGCGCTGACCTAACGTCAGTATTTGTTTCTGAATGCTTCCTTTAGTACGTTCCTGATTGGTCGACGCCAAAATGTTCCGGCTTTTACTCGCTCTTCTTCTTCGTTTTTTTTCTTTTTTTTTTTCCCCTCTATTTTACACGTTTTCCATTACTATGTTTTATAGGTTAGAAATTTTTCCGGATCGTTAGTAAAGACTTATTATTCGTACGTATCAAATGTTTTAATTTAGTCCTACAATTTTTAATGTTTCTTTAAAATTTCTGCTTTTTTCTTCTTTTTTTTTTTTAATATTCTTTAGTTAGGGCGGGGGAGGAGGTTTCAGTGCTTAGCCAATGAGAAGAGAATTCTTACATTGCAGCGAATAAAAAGAATATGATTTCCATGCCGCATGCGCAGATTGCTCATATGATATGCGCCGTCTTTTGCTGGTGACGTAATCGGATTAGATTTGATTGGACATCAGGGACGTATAATTCTGGCTTTTTGATTTTTCAAATGAATTATTTCATCGTTGGGAAATTTTTTTTTTTTGTTTTTTTTTTTTAGATATATACGTATGTATACGGAATAGAGAATAATATTTTTAATATTAACAACTACAACTTTTGCACAATATACAGGAAATAAAAATCTTTGTTTCTTAAATTAATTAAATATTTAGGTCTGAGGTAATAATAAACATTGTTAGAAAAGTACATTATATAAATAAATATTGTATCATGATATATTTAACAACCAGTAGTAACAAAGGTAGGTGTCTCTTGTATGTATTTATCGCAACAGAACAGCACTCTTTATCGTATGATACAAGCTTGAATTTGTATATAACGTTGTATATAATATATGTGGTATATATATATATGTATATATAATAATATATATATATACATATATAATATATGCTCTTGAAGGATTTTCTTTTTTATACCGTAACAATTAGATATCACTAGAAAAAGAGAATCTGCTTTCGCTATTGTAACATAATAAATGTAACGCAATCATTTATTATGTTACATCGCCTCTGGATAACCAATTAAACTTACAATATTTAATGACTTTTACAATCCTAAATAGAAATATATATATATATATATATATCTTCTTATTTAATATTATTCTCTAATACAATGTTATATAGTAAATATATCATTTTTTTCTTTTTCTGATATATATATATTATATATATACAATATATATATATATATATTATATATATATTTATATATATTTATAATTAATATCTATAATATTGTGAAATTACACAATTCGGTAGTAATTAGTGTATATACATAACTCCATTTCAATGTTACATACAGTTCTTTTTGGTCTTATAGAGCAGTGTTGCTTCAGTCGTCTTTGGTAGTAACGTCCATAGAATTTCAATTGTAATTATTTCGAATCAAAAACACAAGACGTTTTTCGTTAGCATGTCTGTTCCCTGAGTTGGTATACAACCTTTTCAGTCTTTGCCATTTATTACTTCATCTTTCACAGCAATTACCACACATCAGGTAAAACAGTCGTTATCTAAAGGCAATTTCAATAATACCTTGTGTATATGGAAAACTCTGCGTAAAAAATATAATATAAAGTAGTAACCCAACGTGACTATATGTACAAAAAAAAAAAAAAAAAAAAAAAAAAAAAAAAAATAATCTCTTTCGTTTTTTATTAGTTTTAAATAAGAAGAATTACATACTTGTACCAAATTCACAAAAAATCTATAAACGGAAAATTTACTAAATCAAAGTACTTTGTTTGGTTTTCTTCATTTTCTGTTTTTTTTTTTCTTTCTTTTCTTTTTGTGTGCTTTTTTCTTTTTTTTTTTTTTTTTTTTTTTTTTCTTTTTTCCCCCCTTTGCTTTCTTCCGTTTCTTAAGAAATACATTGTATTTCTTTACGTTAATCGGCATACCTTTGAATAACAGTGCGAAGTATTTAATTTATAATTAAATATATTCACTCTTGTGTTCGATTAAACATATATAAGATTAATCTTTTCATAATGAACCTCTCATATAATTTGTAAACGTCTCATTAATTAATACGTTAAATTGAGAAGAAAACAGAGCACAGATAGAATGGTAAAAAATAAAGTACCAAAAAGATGTACATGTATGTAAGCGATACAAATATCATTATTAATCATGAATGATCCATTGGATCATAATTTTTTTTTTTTTTTCTTCAAGAATACAAATCATTTATTTTATCATTTCCTTTGTAATGTCTCAACGGTTCTAAAAAAAAAAAAAAAAAAAAAAAAAAATAATAATCATCTTTAACATTTTAATCGATTTCTTATTGTTTAACGTGAAAGTTGAATGTTTAATGAGTTATTAAATAGAATGATTAACATCATCTTCTGTTCAACAAACAAACGTCTACTACATATATAGAAAATAAAATAATTTCGATTGATAAAATTTGTTTTGAACTCTTTGTAAACTCTTGTCAACATACTTCAAATGTTATCTTGCAATACATTCAACGCTTCACTCGATGCATTCATAGGAAATGGACAATTTTTATTGAGGCACATTTACTACGTATCTATCCTAACAACCCATAATGCATAGTTGACTTTTCGCTGATCACAGACAAGCGAAACTTAATTGTGAACGAAAAACGAGAAACAACAAAAAAAGAAGAGAAGAAAAAAAAAAGAAAAATACTCTCTCTCTCTCTCTCACACACACACACACACACACACAAAAAGAAAGAAAGAAAAATATTTTATATTATCTTTTTTTTTTTTTGCTAACAAAATTTAAATCGAAATAATAAAAACAGCAGGGATCTGATAACTATTGTGTTAATCTAACAGAAACGAAATGATTTGACCCTGACCATAAAGATACAATGATAATATCCCCCTTTCCCTTTTGCAATCCTTTTTTTATACAAAAAATCCTTAGCAAGAACGTATATTATCTCTTGGTTATTCTAAAAAACATGGCATAAAATGAAACATATTTACAATAGTCTAAAAGACCTGTCTCTCACGCATTAGGAATGATGTAACATTTATAATATCTTGTACGTAATTCCCAAAAGGCAGCGCGCTATTACTTTATTGTAAAATGCATAGGAAACTAAGTGAGAATAAGACTACCTCCGAGACACGATGTAGGAAACATTACTCCACTGTGATCGTAGTAAAGCGTTTGGGCCGTTTACCAGCTTTTTGTTTTCGATGAACATTAACTTCTTTTTTGTCGGTATAAGAGGAGGATCCATATGATTCCATTGAGCTGTCTGAATTACATACATTTTGTTCTAATTTTCGTTTTCTCGATCTTGTAACCGGTCCATTTCTATTATTATTACTTTGATAGGATGATTCGCCGTCTAAATCGTTGTGTCGTTTATGTCGTTTAGTTTTTGAACATCCTTGTTGATAAGGATTGTCGTCGGTCATATCACGTTTGCGTCGTTTTGACTTTCCTTCCGGATGTCGATGATTATTTATCTTTGGAGAATTGGAGTCGGAGGAAGACGACAACGAACTCAAATATTCGTTTACTTTCTCCTCTCCAAAGTCAAAGGCAATAGGTTGAGCAGGTGATGCAGAAGTGGTTACGTTGGTACTCGTGCTGGATGGTCGTACCAATGGAACAGAAAGGGTAGAGGAAGTTGTCGATGCCGAGGAAGATACTGAACTAGAAGTCGAACGTTTGTGTAATTTACGTCTTTGAGCTAATTTAGCTCCATCCACTTCTCGTAAACGAAAACCTTCGAGTCTATCCGACGATGATGTAGGAAGACACGATGTAGTAGTGTCTGATACGTTTGGATCGGTCGTGTTAGTTGATTCTATTAACCAAGGATGATTGGCAAGTGCCATAGCGGTGAGTCTTTTGTTTGGATCGACCGTCAATAAACCTTTTACCACTTGCTTGGCCAAAGGTGATATATGACACCAACTGTTAGAATCGAAATTAATTTCGCCTGATCTAATGCGCGATGCCAGATCTGGCGAGCCATTTACAAATATTGTTGCATTACGGAATAATATGGAATACAATATTGCACCTAAACTCCATAAATCGCAACTCTGATCGTATCCCTGTCTGGCAATCACTTCTGGTGCTGCATAAGGTAGGGTAAAACAAGGTGTGTGTAATGGTTCGCAGCCACGTTTTATCCTAGCGAAACCAAAGTCAACGATCTTGACCGGCGAATCTTCGCCTTCGTGAACGAAGACAATATTTTCTGGTTTAAGATCTCTATGGACAACGCCACGAGCGTGCATGAAACGTACCGCGGACGCCAATTGCCTCATAACACGACTTGCCTGTTGCTCGGTGAATGGCCTTGGTCTTCTCAACAATTCACCTCCCGAGAGTAATTCCATCACTAGATATGTATGCGCTCTATCTTGATGTACCTCGAGCAACTTGACCACGTTTGGATGGCCTTGGCAACTACGTAGCAAGCTAGCTTCCCTACCACAATCCATACGCCTGCTAACGATCTTCACAGCAAATTCCTGAGCCGTTTTTCTGTGCCGACATTTACGACATACCGAAAAACTTCCATCGCCTAATGCTTCCTCTCGTAGATCAAGCTCATACGTCTGAAAGAACGTTGACTCTTCGAATCGTGCCGCTAAAACGTCCGATGCCGATGGCCTTTGAGATTCTGTAGTAGCTTCTGTTTCCTCTAAGAAGATATCTCTGCTTACTACGTTCTCGCTGAATAATATTGATGGTGCCACGTAAGAGTAACCCTGTTTTTAAATAATATCAATATTTTTCATTAACAATGAACATAGATATATACATACACACACATATATATATATATATATATATATATATATATATTTCTTGAAACGATTACAAGTAAAAAAAGAAAAGAAAAATGATGCAAAAGAACAAAAAAAAAGAATAAATAAATAAATAAATAAATAAATAAATAAATAAATAAATAAAAAGGAGAAATCAAAAGGAAAAGGAAAAAAGAAAAGTTATACGCGATGATAATAAAGTTAAAATAGTCTTACCCGAAAAATTTTATCGTGATTAGGCGGTACAACTGCTGGACTATCAGCAGCGACCATTTTTGTAAATTCGTCCGAGAAATTACTGGTGTCAAGTTCGTGCGTTATACGTGGCACAAATGGCGGTGCTATCTGTCGTTTTTCTAAAGCATCCCAGGTGAAAGGTGGCGGTGCCTTTTTAAAGAATGGATGTTCCTTCAATTCCTTGGCATCGCGCGGTCCACCGCCTAGTCTTTGACGTGGATCCTTCACCAACAAACGCGAGATAAAGTTTCTTACTGTTGGATTAAGATGGCTTGGTATCGGTGGCTCGGTCTTTAATATTCTCCTCGAGATCTCCTGCTGTGTATTTTTCTCTCCCTCGACCGTAAAAGGAGAGGCGCCAGTGAGAAGCTCGTAAGTTAGCACGCCCACACTCCACCAATCCACAGCCTGTAATGTCCAACCAATTTATTATCAATAAATAAAATATTACTTTTTTCCATTTATTTATATATATAATATAAAAAAAAATATATATATATATATATAAATAATATTATATATTTTATATATATTATATATTCAATTATGATCGTCATTATTGAAATTAAAAATCTTTAAGGTAGAACGAAAATTTCTTGACATGACACTTTAAGGATCAATTTACTCTGTTATCAAAACTATGATCAACTTTCGTTTTTACTTTTTCATATTATAAAACTACAAGCATCAACCGATAAAAAAAAAATTATCTCCTAATAAAAAATTAAATTGCACATATAAATATACGTGTATAGATATATATTTCCAAAAGAAAAAAAAAAAAAAAAAAAAAAAAAATTATAGAAATGAATTAGATTTTGATTAGGGTCATTAGACAGCGTCCTTGGTTTTTTCTTTTTTTTTTTTTCTTTTTTTTAACGCCGTCATATCTGTTTCGTATCATCATTTATCTCCTTTTCTTTTTGTTTTCTTTTTTTCTTTATTTATTTATTTATTCAATATAATTACGAAATGATTAGGATTATTCTCGATGATGTGCAATAAAATTAGCATTGATCTATTGGTTAGGTAAATTAATAGGTATACCTCTGTGTGTTACATAAAAGGTATATTAGGAAATAAAATATAAACATCCTCACTCACAATATCGTGGCCTGCGGAGCCCCCTCGTACCACTTCCGGTGCCATGTACTCGATAGTACCGCAAAACGAGTATGCTCGTGCGTTGCTATCTCTTTCATGCGGTAAGAATTCTTTACTCAATCCAAAGTCTGTAAGGACTATATGTCCTTCCCTATCGAGTAATATGTTTTCCAGTTTGATGTCTCTGTATATGATACCCAACTGAAAAAGGAAGAGAATATTTTTTTTCTCTTTTTTTTTTTTTTTTTTAAATTATATCATTTATCATCAAGTTATTTGGATTATAAACAGTCGGAGATACAGTGTGCGGATTGAAAGTTCCTTTAAGAGATTTTAAAAAATAAATACATAAATCTTTTTCGAGACCTTTTATATTTGCAATTTATAGCTTTATAGTTTTACGATTTAAAAAAAAAAAAAAAAGAAAAAAGAAAATGAAAGAAAATAAAGAATCAATGACTGAAGGGTCTCGTAAAACGATTAATTGATTTTTAAAATAACCTCGGGACTCTTAATGGTTCATCATTCTGTAAATACAATATAATTTTTATTGTTTTTCTTTTTTTTATTTTTTTTTTTTTTTTTCCCCAATTCGATTCGAAATTAAACGAAAGAAAAACCCAGACAAATAATACTCGTGTATATATATATATATTGTTTTTTTTTTCTCAAACGCTCGGAATAAACCATCATAAATGCTTGTGTCATCGGAATCGCTTTTAAACTGGAAAATAATATCTGCCTTGGAAAATACAACTCGACCTTATTTTCAGACATAATCAATATTTGTAGTATCCAAATATAATCACGAAGGAATACGTTAAACGTTACACGTCAATCGACGAGAGCTATCGATTTGGTTCAAGTATTCCGAAAATACTATATTATTACTACTATTGTTATAGTACCAATCGAAACTCAATAAATTAATAGGGAACCTGATAAACCGAGGTAATCGTCCACGTTAACGACGATCAATGTCATCGTCGTTATCATTATTATCATCATCATAATCATCATCATCATCATCATCATCATCATCATTTCTGATGGTCAGACAAAACAGTACAATTCATAATTCTCTATTCATTTACTTATTTATATATATTTACTTATGCATATTTTATAAATAATAATTAAACGAGATCATGAATTAAATATATAAATACTTAACATTATCAATTTTCAACGTTTATAAAATTTAAATATCCAAAGAAATCTAATTTTCCAATATATTTATTATAAGATTTAACATTAGAAAAGTTTAACGTGCCATGAGAAACTTTGTAATAATGATTTATTGACCTTCTTTTGCCTGTCCATCAAAATTATTATTATTATTATTATTATTATTATTATTATTATAATATTCATTATTAGAATTTACCTTGTGCAAACGTTCCAAAGCCAATATTACTTCGCCGATATAAATCCTTACTTCGTCTTCGGTAAAATGTTCTCGTTGATATAAATGAGTGAACAATTCGCCTCCACTAACATAATCTGAAAATTTTATTATATATATATATATTTTTTTTTTTCTTTTTTTTTTTCTAAAGAAGAAGAAGAAGAAGAAGAAGAAGAAGAAGAATAAATGATAGAGAAAGATAATTATATCAATGATTTTTTGACTTACCTAAAATTAAATGTAATTTGGCGTCAGTTTGAAAAGCATAATGGAGCGTTACTAAAAAAGGACTGTCCCTAACAGCTTCGAGAACTTGCCTCTCGGTCTTCGTATGTTCGGTTGTTTTTTTCTTTTGTACGATCGAGGCTTTCTTCAAGACCTTCATGGCATAAAGACGACCAGCATCGGTTCCCATTCTTTTCCGTACCAGAAACACTTTACCGTAAGCTGCAAAGTCGATCAATAGAAAAGACACAACGTTCCGTCGTATCGATCCTAAAATTCTTTTTTACTTTTCTTATTCTCTCTCTTTTCTTTTTTTTTTTTCTTTCCTCCTTTCTTTCTTTTCTTTTTCTTTTTTGTTTTTGTTTGTTTTTTCGTCAATGGGGCGCCTTCGAGATATATTAAGAAAAAGCAGGGAGAGGGTTAATTGAAAGAAAAGAGAAATAGAGAGAGAGAGAGAGAGAGAGAGAGAGAGAGAGAGAGAGAGAGAAAGAGGATGTAGGGTAAACAAAAAAAAAAAAAAAAGAAAAACAAAAAGGAAAAACATTGTTAAGAAAATTGAGATAATAAATATCGAGTATTTTCTAAAAGAGTCACGTGGCTTTTGCAACAAAAAGTCCAAGGAAAAAGGAAGGAATTTGAAAGTTTCTTTTCTTTTTCTTATTTCTTTTTATTTTTTTTTTGTTTTACTTTTTCTTTTCTCTTGTAATTCGATTACATACCTCCGGTTCCCAGGACCTTCAATAAGTCGAAATGAGACATATCCACTCTTTGACCACCACTGTCTTCGAGATTCACTGTAATCAAAAGACGAAGAAAAAAATATATTAGAATTAACACTGTCTTTCTCAATAAACTGAACGATATATATATATATTTTTTTTTCTGATTGGCTTCTTTCTTATTTTTTTTTTTTTTCTTTTTTAATTTTTTCTTCTTTAATCATCAATTTGAGAGTTTCGATCGATCAGATATTGTTAATTCAATATATGTTAAAATTTCAATGGAATTTTTGAATGGATATTTTTCGATATATAGAAACGAATAAGGACTTTCTCGCAATACGTAAGAGAAATTTATGCCTCGTCGCAAAGTAAATTCATCCTTAAGCGTTAAGTGTCACAGGGAAATCGAGATGGAGTCAATTAAGCGTGAACGTTTTCAATACGACACCTGTCCTCGTAATAAAATCCAATAGGTGTTAACAAATTTGCTTTGATTATACATATATCTATTTATCGTCTGCGTTATTTCCTGTGCTCATTTTTGTTCGCTCGTTTGTTTGTTTTCTCGCTATGCTTATTAGTTATCGTTAGATCAGAAATTCTCAAAGCGTAGACGGTACGACGAATCATCATCTATCGATGGAGGAGAAAGGGAGAGGAAGAAAGAGGTAGAGAGGGAGGGAGGGAAGTCGCGTTAAATATCAAAATAGAATAATAATGATAATAATAATAATAATAATTTACGCATTTAATTTTTCTACTTTTCTTTCTTTTTTTTTTTTTTTTCTCTTTTCGAGATCATATCTTTTAATTTATGTAGTACTCCGTATATCGATTCAAATTTTGTATTGATCCACTTATCAATCTATTTTCGAAATAGCTATTACAGTTTCGAATCGATAATGGATAAAATTATTATTTTCAAAATTAGATCTCGTACCGTAAAACTTTGGAAAGTCCTAATTTATGTATATAGATCATTCTCAATGACGTTCGAGCTTCCCTCCTCTCTTTTATTGGATGATCTAGAGACAGAGAGAGAGAGAGAGAGAGAGAAAGAGAAAAGGGGGAAAAAAAAAAGGAAAAGAAATCTCTAAGGCCGAGCTTCGAACATAACACAACCTAGTCATCCTATTTCCATCGTAAACAAAACGTCGTTAAGAACGAAAAACAAAAGTATTTTTAATTTCTACGCAGGAATCTATTTATAAATTATTTAATCGTTAATTACATTATTTCCAATGATTCCATAAATGACGGGAATAAAAGAAAATATATTTTTTAATTAATTAATCAGTCCAATCAATATCAACGATATTTATTCTTGAGAATTTGTTAAAAATAAAATGAAATAAAATATATATATATATAAGAAAAAAGGAATCTAGAAACAAAATTTGTTAAAAAAAACCTAACCTCGAAAACGAAAAAAAAAAAAAAGAGATACTCGTACAGAAGGTACTCATCGCGACATCTGTAAGAGCGGGTACAAAATAGATTACGATCTCGCAAATAACTTCTCGATACGCGTTCAAACACAACACACGCAAAAATAATATTACAATTTTTGATAAAAACGAAAAATACGAAACGTAACACGGGGGAAACTAAATTGATTGTAAATAATCGATCATATGGTCTTTTTTTCTCCCGAGAATTATTTACTTATCTTGTTCGATTAATCTTATTTTTTTTATATCTAATTTTAGATAATCTGACAAAAATGAAACAAAAAAGAAAAAAAAAAGAAAAAAAAAAAAGAAAATGAAAAGAAACAAACATAAAAAAAATTAACCTATAAAAAGTTTTAAAAAAGAGTAATTCGTTTTTAGTAACTTTTGCCTCGTCCTGTACCGCTGATATGTCATATCTCTCTCTCTCTCTCTCTCTCTCTCTCTTTCTTTCTTTCTCTTTTTCTCTTATTGTCACTGGCATGTACATCCCATCGATGTTAGGTGGTTAAGAACACCGACTGGAATGCCACTTATTTCAAAGTGTCGTGCGCACAAACGTATGTAACTAAGTATGTACATGAGTATCAAAAGCAAGCAAGCAAGCAAGCAAGCAAGCAAGCAAGCAAGCAAACGAGCAAGCAAGCAAGCAAGCAAAAGCACACCTGCAATACGGATAATATCCGCAGGTGTTCGTCGTTGGGGGGGAAGAATGGTAGGAGGGGGGTCAGAAAGGGGGGAGAAGCGAGGGAGGAGGAGGAGAGGAAAAAAGAGGAAGGAGGAGAAGCGCACATGTGGTAAACGCGTGTGCACTGTACATACTACACACGTTGCTTATCGAGCAACGTTGCAGTATCGTTGCAGTTGCAATTGTAGCTGAAACGCAATCCAGACGTAAACGTAAACGTAAATGTAAATGTAAACGTAAACGTAAACGTAAATGCAAACGCAAATGCAAATCCAATTGCAATCGCTAATAGAAACGCGAAATATCTCGAAATAGCCAAAGGGAAGTTATTAAAATGTTACGCATAAAAATAATATCGTAATAATTTTATATCGAATAAGGGAGAGAGAGATGTGGTGAGGTGGAAATATCTGTGTGTGTGTGAGGGAAAGAGAGAAAGAAAGAGAGAATAAAAATTTCTTCAGTAAAATTTTGTTGCAACCAAAGCGCGATTTCGATTCGACCGATTATTAATGGATATAAGGAGGGGAAAAGTGTATCTGTATGCGTGTGGAGAGAAAGACAGAGAGAGAGAGAAAGAGAGAGAGAGAGAGAGAGGGAGGTGCATGAGTATGCATGTGCGTGGTTTCATTTCGATCATACCGAGGTTTTCTTGTTGTTTGAATAAGAATCAAGATAATATAACCGAGATAAGAAGCGTAACATGTTTGTTTTTCTATTACGCGCTATACGAATTTCATTTATTTATTTAGTTTCTCCATATTTTCCTGTTCTTTTTTTCTTCCTCTTCTTCCTTTGTTTCTTCTTTTTTGTTTTTTTCTCCATTAACGCATTATCGCTTCGACGATCGTCAATATATGTAAACGATATGCGTTTTTGTTATGTAAAAATTATTTTCATTGTTATCAAGTGAAAGAAAAAAAAGATATATATATTATTTTTATTATTATTATTATTATTATTATTATCATCATCATTATTATTATTATCATTATCATCATTATCATAATTATTATTATTTATTTTTCCTTTAGAAAATACAGAATGAGTTGAAAGTTCGTAGATTGGGTCAAAAGTTCCTAAGCTATATCAGAAAAGATCGATCATTCCTTTTTCTTGTTATCGATCACCTAGAGAACTTTTGGCCCCGCCTAAGAACCTTCGGTTCACCCTCCGTTACAATAGAAGAAAACATTTTCTCGCCTTAATAGAGAAAACGGAAAAGGAACAAAAAGATAAAGATAAAGAAAATGACAAAGGAAAAAGAAAAAGACGAAGGAAAAAAGGAAAAAGAAAAAAAAAAAGAAAAAGAAAATTGATGTTAAAAGATGATAAAATTAGGAGAGGACGAGCGGGGTAAGGGTGGGATGATGGAGGGAGGGGAAAAGAGCATATTCTGATGGATCTCACACACTTCAGAGTTCCTTCCTGTGATAGGAGCTACGTGGCAAACGAGTAATAAGCAACGATGCAACAATTTGCATGTGCTTAACCTTAAAAAAAAAAGGGAGGGGGAGAAATGAAAAGAAAAAAGAAAAAAAAAAAAGAAAAACACGAGATAAAAGAATTACCGTCTAACGCGCTTGTCGCCTTGACTCTTTTCCCCGCCCCCCCCCCCCAACCCCAACCTTTTTTTTCTTTTCTTTCCTTCTTTCTTTATCTTTACATTTATATGGGATATATATATATGTGTATGTGTATGTGCGTTTGTATGTATTTTTCATATAAATTAGTAAAAACAAATGAGAATAGCTTTTAGTCAAAAAGATACAAGTTTTATCTTTTGTTAAAATGTTGAGAGAGAGAGAGAGAGAGAGAGAGAGAGAGAGAGAGAGAGAGAGAAAAGAAAAAGAGAAAAAAATAGAAAAGCTTTCGCAGAATTGTTGCGTTTTTCGTACCAAAAGGCAGACATTGAACGATATCGATTTCTGTTCAATCAACAGTAATTGTCTTCTAGTATCTGTTCGCGCGTAGAGTAGTCTCGAAGCAGAGTTAATAGTTAGTCAGTCTCTTTCCCTTTGGTTAAATAGCACTCGTCTGTTGGTTGGCTTTCACTTTCCAATACACGTCGTGCTTCTGTTTAAACTTCGTGTCTGTTTATATAATTCCTTTTTTTTTTCTTCTCTCTCTCTCTCTCTCTCTCTCTCTCTCTCTTTTTTTTTTCGAATAATACACATTCAATAGATATATCGAACGAGAGAAGAAAAATAAGGGAAATAGAGGAACAAAAACAAAAACAAAAACAAAACAGAAAAAAAAAAAAAGTAAAAAACACCTCCCCTCTATCCCGATTAGAAATTCAAAATCAACAGCTATGATGTACAGGATGGAGCAAAAGTTTGCTCCGAGCGCGTCCTTGAAGTTTCTAAATTGTTTATGCAAACCGATTAATCATTTTTATGTTTGTTCATTTTTTTTTCTTTCTTTTTTCTTTTTTTCTTCTTTTTTTTTTTTCTTTCTTTCTTTTTTTAGACCCACTTCAAACCCATAACTTATATCTTGTAATTTTGTCGTCCGTCGAAAAGAAGCAAGGAAAGAAATTTGAATCAAAGAAAATAATAATTAGTTTAAAAATTAGTGTCTTGATATTTTAATGATCACTTGGGAACAACATTTGGTTCAGTATGCATAAAAAAAAAAAAAAAAAAAAAAAGTAAAAAGACAAAGAAAAAGAAAATAAATAAATTAATCGATAAATACATAAGAAAAGACAAAATAAAATGCAATCATCAAAACCGCCGAAAATTCAATGAAAGAAACGTCCATATTATATCGGAATATAAGTCGATAATATTGGTTATTCGGTAGCCATTTTTAAAGTTTCCAAGAGTTTCCGTATTTTCTTTTGCGAATCTTTTGACGTTCGATAACGAACAGTATATAACCGATCGTAGAAAGAAAATAATAAAAAGAGTGAAAGAGAGAGGTAGAGA